CACATGTCCACATTTGAAGCTTGGAAGGGGACTTGGCTCCTTTTGCTCACTAAAGGCAGACAGGGAGAGTAGATGCCCCCAAGACTTGGAGGTTCCTGCTTGCCCCATCTTAGCTGGGGTGGGGGGAGGGCTTGGGCAAGACACCTGTTCTCTGTGCCTCAGTTTCCCCACCTGTGAATCAGGCTCAGCAGGGCTGAGGTGTTGAGGCACAGAGGTGTCCTCCCCTCCCCAACCTGCTGTGGTGGGGGGCCCTGTTTACCCTGCATCCCCCATTCTTCATTGTTTTTCTCTGTGAATCCCCCAGACAGCTGCCCAGTGTGGCAGACACCGATGGCCGCCTGCTGAGACACCCATTCCTCCTGGGCCCCTTGCCCAGCCTGATGCTTTCTGGGGACTTTTCTGGCCTTCTTTAAACAGCAAAAATAAGGTGGGGAAGACTCCAGGGCAGGGAAAACGAGGGTGGAGGCCACGTGGGCAAGTTTGTGCACGCCCTGGCATAGGTTCGATCCCACGTCCTGTCCCTACCCATAACATGGAGGCCACAACCACTTCCACTGGAGTGGGGGGGGGTCTGCACGTGAACACCTCTCAAGCCCTCAACCAGGGCTGTGGGCGCCCAGCACTGAGGTGAGCACGGTCATTACTGTTGTACCTGTTTGGACAGGTGTTAGCATTCTTGATGCATGTGTGCCTGAGTTCACTGGCCCATTTCTGTGTATCTACATGCATATGTGCATGTGTGTGCTTCTGCATGTGTGTGTGCATGAGGACTGTCCTGTGTGTAGAATCCTGCGGGCCTAAGAGGCAGAGAGACCCAGCTCCTTGCTGGAAAAGATGCATCTGTTGGAGAACTCCCTGGGCAAAGGCTGGAGGGCTGGGAGATAGTTGGGTGCAAGGAACAGTACAGGGGTACAGGGAACAGCAGGAGGCTGCAGGGAACAGCAGGGGCACAAGGTCAGGAAGGCTGAGGGGGTTGGGGAGCTGCGTGAGTGAGCCTGGGCAGCTTTGGCTGAGCTGAGTTTTTGGAGGAAGTGACATCAATCCTGAATTATTCATTGAGAACCTACTCTGTGTGCCCTGAGCTAGGGACACAGCACGGCTTTAGGGTAACAGAAAACACCACAACAAGTAAATATATAACTCAGGGGGAAGATCCAGAAGCAAGATGCATCAGGAATGGTAGGGGACCTCAGGGACACTTTGGCCTAGAGACCAGAAGAGTGTCCTGAGGAGGTGATGTGTGATCTGAGGACTGCAGGAGAGAAGGTCCTGGATGATCTGGGGAGAGGAAGCTCCAGGTGAAAGGCACAATAGGTGCAAAGGCCTTGAGGTGAGGATGAGCTGGCAGAGGGGCCCCATTCAGGAAGATCTAAGCCCACAGCAGGGAGGGGAGGCATCAGGGGGCATCCCTGGCAGGGAGCAGGGCCACTGGGACAGGCTGTCCTGTAACTGGAGCCCAGCAGGAACTTGTTCCCCCTCCTGTCCACCCTCAGCACACCCTGCTTAGGACAGAATGTGCTGGGAAGAGAGGCCAGTGGTGGCTTGTGTCTGGTGGCTGGAGCAGGGTGGCAGGAGGATTCCTGAACAGCAGCCCTGCTGGGCCCCCTGCCAGCAAGGGCGGAAAACAAGCAGTGGAAGCTCTGCCTGTCTGTCACCCCTTACTCTGGGCCTGGCCTAGCCACAGCAGGCAACGGAGATGGTGAAAAGGTCAGAGACTGACAGAGACAGAGAGATAGTGAGCCAGAGACATAGATAGAGAGGTAGTAAATGAGAGAGACAGAGATGCAGAGATGGTGAGAGACAGAGACAGATAGTTAAAGTCAGAGACTGAGAAAGACAGAGACAGAAGGATATTGAGAGAGACTGAGATAGCAGTGAGAGCCAAAGACAGACTCTGAATGGGTGCCAGGTCTGATTTGGGGGTCCTGGGAACAAGTACAAGGCAGTGATACTCTCACTCCCACCAGAAACTTTGTTTACACCAGAGTAGGGAGGGAGTCCCCTCTGGTCACTCACTCAGTCGACAACCCCCTTCACACCTGTTATGCTGGAGCCAAGGACACAGCTTTAACCTAGCCCTGTCCTCAAAGGCCCAGACAAATAAGTGAATATTTAAATAGGAATTCAGAGAGTGATGAAGGCTATGAAGACAATAGGACAGAAGGATGGGAGAGGGAGTGAAGGGGGCCATGGTGACATCAGCCAAGAGGTTGGGGTGTCCCTGAAAAGATGAGGCTGGGAATAAAGAAGAGCCAGCCATAGGGAAGAGCCTTCAGCAGAAGGAACCTATGCAAAGGCCCTGTGGTGGGAACCAGCCTAGGGTGTTTGAGTAACAGCCAGGAATGGAAAAGGAGCTAGAAGGAGAGATAGGTGGGAGGTCTTAGGAGCCTGGGGAGGGGTGGGATTTTATTTTAGGAGAAGAATATTTGGCCACTCTTCTCTATGCCTTATGGGCCCCTCCCTATGTTCAGGGAGCTCTCTGGATTCTGGACTGCCTTAGCCAGCTGCATCCTGGTTGTCATTTTTCTGAACCAGAAAATCCATCTCCTTTAGGGATCAGGTTCCCCATAGTTGCAGATGCAGAAGTCCTGCCAAGCCTGCAGGGGAGAACCTTTTGTAGAACTGTACCCACATCTGCTGTTGCAATAAACACTTTGGACTGGTCTCAGTTTGGGAAACTGGGTTCTTGCATCTTGCACACCCCGGGCAATGGAGAACTCATCTTCTTGAGGCTGCCAGTTTGGGGTTTGGGTGACTGTGCTGGAGAAAGTTCTCCCCTAGCCCCAGGGACCTTCAAGTCTGGCACGCTCAGAGCTGGATGCCAGGTCAGCTGCCCAGAACAGATGCTGCTGGAGAGGGAGCACTGGGTGGACCCCAGGACCAGAAGCAGTTGGAAATCAGGGCCTAAACTCAGATCAGGGAAGGGGGTGATGGAAGCTGTGGAGGGGGTGTCCCAAGGTCTCAGACGGAGAAACTAAGTCTCAGAAGCAAGTGACCTGCCCATGGTCACACAGAGAGCAACCGTTCAACCCAGATCTCCCTGGGTCCAGTTCCTAGGTCCCCCC